CACGGGCCTACAACATTTCCGCCTCCATCGGAAATGCAGCCGCCGCAGCCGGAATTCGACCCCGCGACCTACGGGTCAGCAGCCGAGTACTTTAGCCACTAGACCACCGTGGCGGGGCTTGTACTTCGACTTTTTGTTTGCTAAACATCAGCTTGCTCGTTAAATAGTCTTCATCTGTACCGGCTTGTGTCACGCATACTTCACCGTTACGACTACGTGACAGCGTATAGACGGATTGGTGTACGTTCCGCCATATTGGTTTGTTAACCTTTTGTCGTCTGCACCTTGAACAACTAAACGAACAGTGTTACGACATACGCATGAGAACGGTTAAGTTGATATGCATACAATGTTTCGTGGCCTTGTTATAGTTTACGTCGCCATATATCGCAAAAGCAAGGAAACATTGCTTTAACAGTTTAACAGCCTGAGAAGGTGGCGCCCAGAATTCTTACGGAAAAATGGTCTTATAACGGCGAGTTTGCACTTTTCGTTGCGTTCACACCGGTGCTCGTATAATATATATATATATATATATATATATATATATATATATATATATATATATATATATATATATATATATATATATATATATATATATATATTGATCGTACCCGGAATCGACGATCACTTGATCTCCGAAAAAAAAAAAGAAAAAGACTGGTCCTCCAATACCCTCACTGTCCTGCCGCAAAACGGAAACGTAAGTTTTCTATCACACAATTCAATCTAGGGGAAATCCATTGCGAATTTCGGTTCTGCCCGTCAAGTTGCATCAGCAGGACTTCGCATTATCTGGTTCACGTTTACGTTACTCTGTTTACGTCTTGCAACGTCGCTCTCGTAAAGGTTCCAGTAATTGAAAAAAAAACATATAATTGGTTTTGCCGGTAGAAATCGATAAAGCGCTGCCGCGTATGGTTTCAACACGTGTCGTCCCGGCCGTTCTTTTAAAGCCAGGCGATATTAAGGACTCGCTTCGGGAAGCCCTTTATCAGCGATGAGCGCGGAATGGATTGCGTTCTGCGAACAGCCGCTTGACGACAGCGGGCCCCGTTCTCGAAATCGATTCGATGGCGCAGTAAGGTGGAAAAAAAAAGTGTAGCTTCTCTGCCTTTGTACTCCGGAAGTTCGGCTTCACCTTTCGCGAGCGCGTTTGTTGGTGAAGCTTGATTTACAGAAAGGACGAAATGGGTTGTCGAGATGCGGGAGCGGCTGGTTTTTGGTGGTCTGAAAATGCGGGGCTTGTTGTTTGTGCGTCATTTAATTGGAAATATTATGTGAGAATGAAACCGGACTTTTAAGATAAGTTTATGGGTCAATATTTGAAGAAAAAAAGAAGGAGGGGGTCCCTTAGCTTCGCTTTCAAGATATGAACGCATTAGCGACATCAAGAAAGCGCGCACACACACACACACAACGAAAGACCGCGAGGGGAACAGTGGTATTACGGTAATACCGACAATCCCATTGTTTCGCCCAGTCATCATAATTTACTTCATTGTTATGTCGTGTTTTTTTTTTGTTTTCTTTTACTGTGTGGGGGGAGGGACACACACGACAAGCAAGTCTTTTTCAGGTGGGGGCGGGGGGAGGCTAGGAACATATGGGTTGTGTTTTTGCTATGCTTGCTCTTGGAGGGTGCAAATTGGGGGGGGGGGGGGGAGCAGGTGCAAATTTCGGAAAGAAGAGGCTATAGCCCTCGCTGGCGCCGCCAGTGGGTGCGATGGAGAGCTCTGCCGTCCTCAATGCATGCCATATCACCACTTCATCGTCTTACAGCAAATAAACGAAAACAAGAACACTTCCCGGGTTCGTCGTACACGCAGCTTGCGTCTGTACTCCACGTGTTTGTCTGCAGAACACGTGGCGAACACGTGGTCTTAACGTCGTCCTAGATGGAGGCTCGAGCGTGCAAGCGTTTGATGACCCGTCGAGACAACACGAACTGTCAGGAGGAAGGTGGGGCGGGGGGTGAGCAGCCACTACCCTCCCCCCCACCCTTCAGGCAATCGAGGCACTCCAGCAGCGACCATTCTTCGGCGCAGCTCGGAGATCACGTAGACGTTCCCGACAAAGGAACGCACGCTGAGCAGCTATGGCGGTGACAGCTGTTGTCAATGCGCTGTCAGTTCCGTTTGTTGTGACGCCCGCCCGCGCGCCTCAGGTAGGTACAGCGAGATGCGAGGCCATCGGGCGCGAGGCCGCAGCGTGTTCGATGCGCTCCTTGGAGAATTACTTCGTACAACTTCTAGCCTGCCGGTGGAAATTAGCGACCTTGATTTACCTCGTAATGCGATGCGACTGTGTGAGAAACGTTTTGCGATGGCGACCGAGGTGTCATTGAGAACCATTCACAGCGCTCCTTGAGCGTTCGCCTAAGATGACTCGAAGATTAAAGTCGTTCTTTTTTTTTCTCCCCAGTCGGTGTGCTGACCTTTCCCTACACTTGTCCGAAAGCTCTCTGCACTTGACGTGAGGGACGTAGGCAGAAATTTTTCAAATGCTAATCATTCCCTTGCGTACTGCAAGCACTTTTGGCCTATCTATCTATCTATCTATCTATCTATCTATCTATCTATCTATCTATCTATCTATCTATCTATCTATCTATCTATCTATCTATCTATCTATCTATCTATCTATCTATCTATCTATCTATCTATCTATCTATCTATCTATCTATCTATCTATCTATCTGTCTATCTGTCTGTCTGTCTGTCTGTCTGTCTGTCTGTCTGTCTGTCTGTCTGTCTGTCTGTCTGTCTGTCTGTCTGTCTGTCTGTCTGTCTGCCTGCCTGCCTGCCTGCCTGCCTGCCTGCCTGCCTGCCTGCCTGCCTGCCTGCCTGCCTGCCTGCCTGCCTGCCTGCCTGCCTGCCTGCCTGCCTGCCTGCCTGCCTGCCTGCCTGCCTGCCTGCCTGCCTGCCTGTCTGCCTGCCTGCCTGCCTGTCTGCCTGTCTGCCTGCCTGCCTGCCTGCCTGCCTGCCTGCCTGCCTGCCCGCCTGCCTGCCCGCCTGCCTGCCCGCCTGCCCGCCCGCCTGCCCGCCCGCCTGCCTGTCTGTCTGTCCGCCTGTCTGTCTGTCCGCCTGTCTGTCTGTCCGCCTGTCTGTCTGTCCGCCTGTCTGTCTGTCCGCCTGTCTGTCTGTCCGCCTGTCTGTCTGTCCGCCTGTCTGTCCGTCTGTCTGTCCGTCCGTCTGTCTGTCCGTCCGTCTGTCCGTCTGTCTGTCTGTCCGTCTGTCCGTCTGTCTGTCTGTCCGTCTGTCTGTCTGTCCGTCTGTCCGTCTGTCTGTCTGTCCGTCTGTCCGTCTGTCTGTCCGTCCGTCTGTCTGTCTGTCTGTCTCGCCGCTTATGCCTGTGTGCTCTCATGAACACCCCCTTAACTTGGTGTGAACCAAAAGTTGTGGGAGGTAGCTAAGATGGTTTGACAATATGATGATCTGGTTAATACATGAATAATGTCAATTCCGTCGCGTACGTCGTCAAATGCGTCCCGCCAGACAGTGGCACATATAAGCGGGTGAATATGTGCCACTGGTATGCGGGTATGTGCCACAGGTGATTGGCACCTAATACCTGCCAAGGAAGGAGGAGAACACACATGGGCAATTTTAACGCGTGAGTGTTTAGAAAAACCTGACATTGGCAGCATTGACCCGACGAATGCAAATAATAATTGTCACGGTAGCAGGAATCGAACCCAAGCATTCTGCGTGGCAATCAAGTATTCTACCACGTAGCCATGCCAGCTCTTGGAACTACTTTTCAAATAGATGATAATGTTTGTGAAACTTAAATTGTGGTGGAAGTGCAGGCTATACAATTTTATAAACATTGCTTATGTTTTCCTATGGTACAGCTGTCATGTCGGGCTATCATCAATTGCAATTAGGTGCCATAGGCTCATGTGGGATCATGGTTTGTGTGCGTACGGGGGTAAGGGGGGGAGAGGTGGGCACTTGTTTGATTCTGAGTGGAGGCCGGGCAGGCGGATGTGGTCGAGTACAATTTCGTGCTCTATATGGCATGGCGAAAAATATTTGGGGTTGGGCGGGGGTGAAGGCACGGGTTTTGTGTGCCACCCCCTGGCTACGCCACATGACGTGGTTCTGTACTGCCTCCCTGATCAGCCCACCTTTAAACAGGCGACAGTGACACCACAAATTATTGTGGTCTGTGATGCCATGATGACGTCATATTGTGGCGTCATAACGTGATGATTCTCTGCAGCACTCGTGCTGTAAACTTCTGTGTTTGAAGGTGCATCTGTGGCTTTCGCCTTGATCGGGCATTGATCAGGCCAGTGTTTCCCAGGAGATAGGTCGCAAATGGTTGCGGAAAACTCCCATCTTCACTGCATCAGATAATAATGGTGTCAATAAATCACCCGTGCAATATTTTTTAATTTAACAAATACTCAAAAAATGGAGTGTAACTGGAGCGCAGAAATATTCGAGCTGTCATTACCAGAAATATTCAAGTAAACTGTTTGGTAATAATCTGGAGTAACCTAGAGAAGGCAAACGTGCGATGAATGGGCCGCAACAAGCACAGAAATGTGGGAGAGGCTTTTGGCTTGGAGTAGTTGACGATGATCCCAGTGCGCGTTGTGCCTCCTAATCATGTCATATGATTTTGTAATGTGAAAGCTTGAAATGTCACATTTAACTACGTATATAGCTCCAATTTATACGACGTCGCCTCTCTGTGATGACAGGGGACGCTTTCTTACTCTTTCGGGGCTGGGGGTCTGTATATACGTGGCGTACTGATGCGTTGCCACGTCTACCAAAGACCTCCTGAGAATCTTGGTCATTTGTTTTTTTGTTTGGGTGCCCGGCTGTGATACGTCGCCTGCATAAGACAGATGATGCATGTTTGTTACTGGGCATGTGTGCTGCGCGTGGCCCGATGTCCACGTGTCTTGCGACAGCGTATCTGCCGTAAGAGGTCGCGAGAGGTGCCCTGATCGTTCGTTTGTTTCAAACCACCTCCCGCAGACCCGAGACAAAGGCAGACTCCTCGCGCCGACGTCACACGTCCGGGGCCCGCCCGCTGCTGCCCCTCAACGATGGCAGTGACACGATGGACATGCTGTCGCTGCTTGGCATTCATCGACCTGAAGAAGGACAGGTAATGCAGCTGCGTTTTAGAATGGAAGCGTCGCATTTTCAGCTAGACGTTGATGTTGTATCATAACCGATAGCTGGGAAAGTTTTTGGTCATCCATCTCAAGCCTAGGATGGTTGATGCGGCCAACATCACATTTGTAAAGGTATGCGCCAGACTAGTTGAGACCAAGCGGAGACATTTTTTTTGCCGTCGTCGTCATGTTCTTGTGTAAAGTCAAAATCGATAACGCGCGTCATATATGTTCTATGTGAAAACGAAACCTTTCAGAGGTTGCGCACGAGGGTGGCTCAAACAGTAACACGCACTTTATGGCTCTGTCACGCTATGGAGCATAAAGGGATACCGAGGGGAGCAGGGGGGGCTGGAGTGGGGGAGTCTGTGTTGCTGGTGCAGCGATTGCAAACTTGGATCAAAGAGGGTGGCAGTCGGGTGTGATTTTTCAACAGCTAAACATCAGTAGGCGGCTCCTACCCTTGTACGCGTACTGTGCTCTCACTGCTTATCCTCGTGTTAGGCAACATACAGCACGAAAACTGCTTACCTTCCTGGAGGGCGCATAATCTCTAATGTCAGCATCTTACAGTGTTATACAAGAACGGATCTCAATGCTAGCTGCTAGCTTTCCTTCGAATTCCACTCCAGTTTGTTGCTATTACATTCATTGGTTTGCCTTTGCTGTGAAATTGTCTTTTCTTTTTTTTTTTGTGCTGTGTATTGACCGGTAGCTCCCTTACCCGCACCGCGGTAATGGCTGGGCATGTTTATTGCTAGACCACCTGATAATAAAACCTGTATCATTAGAAAATAAAATTATCAATGATTACGATGCTCACTATTGCTAAATGCAAAGCAGCTGTGTGCTTAAATTTCACGGCTACTTTGGTGGCGGCAACAATAAGCTCCAGCCTCGATGGCGCAAACACCTCTGCCTCGAGTGGCACGGATCGCAAATACTGTGTCGCCTTGGCGTAGTGTCGTGGGGCGCTCTATTTTCCTCCTCACCCCTTCACCGTCCTCTTCTTGTTTGCTTGCATCTGCCACTGTGTTCATTTTCTCGGTTACGATGGATGAGGCTCACTGTCGCTCAATCCAGTAATCAATCACTAATGACTGCACTCTAAAAAAAAGCAATTATCAACTGTTCTGTCACAAAAAAAAAGCACATTTCTTTAAGATATATAGGAACAGATGCACCCACAGTTTGACAATGCCCAGGTTTATGTACTTTTCCTGTTGAGATTGTGTTAAGTGAATTTCGCAGAGGGACTGTGATAATGTGTGTGGTTCTCTATACTTGTGTTCCTTTGAAGTGTAAGCATTACCTGCAAGTCAATACTTGTCTGCATTCACCTTCTCTGCAATCCTTTCTTTTTTTCATTTTCTTGTTAAACTGAACTCAATCGTATTTTGAGCTAGAGTGAAGTTGTAGCACCAATACCCTGCAAGGTCTATAACAGTGCGAAAGACTAGCCCATCTGTTGCTATAATCTGAAGGTTGCTTTTTTTAGCTCACCACTAGCTTAAGTAATGCTCAGGTGTTCCAGGTAATAAATCTGGCGGAGAGAAATTAAAGCAGCTGTAGTGTTTGTTATTAGGACATCATTGTCAGCAACACTGTGGGGACCACGACCTGGCAGCCAGCAAAATAGATAGTGACTGCATGGATATTTTTTTTTTCACCTTGAAATCAGTTAAGTAATGACTTCAAACCACAATTTAATGCTCGGCACTGCATGCATAGTGACCTGAAGTATTAGCTTGACTAACGTTAGGCTACTTTTACAGGCTATGCTTCGTGCATATTCAAGACTACTCTGTATGCTCTACTGAGCAGTGGCTTCTTTTCACAACTGCCCGGCAAAGGTGTCCCAGGGTTCATTCAGGCAATGTGCTTGAAGCATAGCATTATGGGGAGCATACAGTTGTTCCGTGGTACATGCATGGTTGATACTAGCGACTGGCGTGGTGGTAGTACAGATGCTAATCCACTGCATGTTTGTCTCCATACGACAGTTTGAATTTAACTCATGCATTTCTTCTTTTTAACGTCTTCAGTATCTGTCCTTTGGTCCTTACCTGGTGTCCTCGCGCCAGAACCACATGTCGACCATTCAGTTCCGTTGGTCGAAATCTCACGACCCCGATGCCAGTCACCACACCCACTGTCAGGTAAGCCTCCCTAATTACCCAACAACCTATTAGCACAGTTGTCACTATAAATAGGTTAAAACAACATTGATTTAGCACAGCTTGTCAGCGTGGCTGCACTGAATGTGAGGGGGATTTCGGCCTTTAGGTTCCTATTTAGTTGCCGTCTTGGTCACCTTTTGTCCAAGAGTAAATATATTCTGGATGTGGCCTCATGTCTGAGGTACACGCAACATTATTGGCAGAGGTGGATGTTCCCTTTACCCACAATGTAGCTTTACACTTTTTCAGAACTGACAGTCCTTACTTTGGGTCATGTGGGCAATGATTGCAGCGCCGACCTCTCCACTTGAGGCCTTCATGGCCAATATGCATCGTGTGGCAATTTTTCCGCTTTTTCTCAACTATGATATCTGCTACTCATTTGTTCCCTGACCAGTTCTGCTGTACTCTAGTCTCTTAATATTACTCTTATAATTTTGCATTCTGTTGCATGCTGTGTGGTACTAAACTTGTTCTCTAAATACTTTGTTGTCCTCCACATTTCAACACCACGTGTTAGAAATGTCAGTACGCAGTGATTGTGTACTTCCTTAACATGAAATGTGGGATGTAACGTTATATATATAGCTCACGATGCATAACGACGATTCATCAGGGATTGTTTGATGACGTAAGTGACCCAGATCAATTTGTTGTTTGTAGCACATGTGAAGTTTTCTGTCACTCAGTTATTGCTATTCACTGTCTGCTTTTTTCCATTGCAGTATGTGAATCGTTGCATATCTCACGATGGGGGAACGTCAGCCACTACACCTCCAAGTGCCAACAGCCTGGATAAAAGTAAGCATTTTCTTTGTTTTGTTCGGTGTGTAGTGTTGAACGCAAACTGCGAATGAAATTCCACGCTGCCTGAAGAGTCTGGATAGCAAACAGCTTCGTAGAAAAATTTTGCATTCCAACTATTCTGCAAGCATCCGTGTCACACAGTGCTCGCAGTAATGTTTTTTTAAAGTGAAAAAAAAAATTGACGTTGTCACTCCCCTCATGTTATGCTGATATCAGAACAGCGAGAACTGCCTTGGCTTTTCAGCGTAGTCTTGGAGATAGAGCAGGGCTTGTACTGCACTTGAAATCTCGGAGGCTATAACCTGGGATTAGTGTCATTCCCACAAAACCCCAGCTGCGTGCTTTTTGTGCGTAAGTCCTATTCTAAGACTGTTAATTTTAAAAAATGAGTGCGTTTTGGCTAGTTGTCTGCCTGGCAGATGTCTTTCAAGCCAACACGTCGATCTCGTGCAGTTGCACTGCTCTAATGATTGCAAAAGAATGACAGCAAGAAGTGAGTTAGTGTTTTAAGTGTGTTAGCATGTCCTTGCCAACTCAACGAGAAAACTGCTCGTCGATCTGCCGGTTATGTGAGGCGATCATTGCTATGAAGAAATAGATGAATAAAAGAAGATAGGTTTTCACTGGTGCTTGGGTTTGAGCCAGCGACCTAACGCTCCAAAGGCGAGTGTCTTAACCACTACACTATACTTTCATAGTTGCGCCCTCAGCGTCAAATGAAAACCGAACAGCAGCAAGCCTTTACGATAACGTAGTGCGTGCCATCCAGTTTTCACCATTGACAGGTGCACGAGTCTTGTTATTCGGCAGCTCTGCGCATAATATGCGTGCCTGTTTTTGGTGATAAGTGGAAGGCATGCCTAATACTACTATCGTGAAGGCTTGCCACTGTTCGGGTCTCATTTGACGCTGATGGTTCGTGTGACCTACATCTGCACCTTGTTACCCCAATGCAGTACAAATGTAGCAAGATAAAACTTGCTGCGAAGGCTATGTTGAGTTTCTTAGAAGGGAAATAAAAGCACTTTGCGGGACCCGATTTAAAGCCGGCCGAGAGGACGGTAAACATCGGGATAATACAAACTCTGCAAAATTTTGATACCAGACATGCGCTTCAGTGGTCACAAGGCGGTACCTAGAACGGGACAGCAGGTTACAGACGCTGTCAAATTGTATACGCTTGAGTGTTGGAGGGAAGATGCCATGTTGATGCAATCCGATAACTACGTTCCACAGAAAATGTCTACCTACTGCGGCACTTACACATCAGTTGGACAACTTGTAAAGAAGATTCTGTGTGGATTTTTCAATGCCTTTCAGTTGACTGTGCAGGTTTCGAGTGGAATAGCAAGGAGGACGGGAGCCTTCTTCCGTGTTGTGGGTCATCCGCGCCGTACAGCCCAGACCTCCTTGACAACCCAGAGCTGATAGCGGGAAAGCACAGTACCATGCTCAGCTTCCCTTCATACATTGTGAGTTGTCTAATCATGTTATGCAAAATAATATGCAATTACACTCAAACCTTGATATAACGAACCAGGATATCACGAAATATTGGCTTGCAATAGATATAGCATTGGCAATACACATTATAATGAAGTTTATGTTATAAAGAAGTAATTTTTGTGTAGGATGCAACTTCGTTTTAATGAGGTTTGAGTGTAGTATTAACATATATAAACAGTCCAATATCATATTCCACTATTGGTAAACCGACACTTTTGCTTAGCGCTGTATTTTAAGGCTTCGCTTGAGCAAGAAAAACATGTTGCGCAAGAGACCAACCGATCAAACGTTTGCTTGTTCCCACTCAGACTTTTCACATAGGTAGTGTTCTTTGCACGGTAGTGTAGTCTGGACAAGAAGGGTGCAGCATTCTCGAGCAATTGCTGTCTGATTGATCTCTTATCGAAGTCACTTATCAAGTTGGCACATTTAATTTTTTGCCTACGTATGAATGCATGACCGTTGTTGTTGCCTGTGGCAACTGAAGGGATGCGTTGCTAAGCGCCTGAATAAGATTCAGTTTCTAGGACTGAGCAAACAAGGAGCGTTGCACAATGCGATACAAACAAAGAAGAAAGCAAGTAAGAACTCGCATTTCATTCTTCACTTACCCCTATTTTCTCAGTAAGGCAAAAGCTGAATTTTTTTTTCGCTTTTTGTTTGCCACATGACTTAACATCATGATGAATTATAACCATGCACTCTAATACAGATACACTCAAAACTCAATGTAACGAACCCAGATATAACAAAATATTGGTTATAACAAAGTAAATTAAAAATACTCTTGCAATATATAAAGTGTTAGGAATATACTTTATAATGAATTTTTGGATATTAGAGACTTATTTTGTGTAAAGTGCAACTTCGTTATAATGATGCTTTTTTCTTTTCACAGACATCCATTATTGACTACGTGAAGCCGTCGGACTGAAGAAAGAGCTAAACGACAAGTTTCGTAGCAAGTTCCCACACATCCAGCTCACCCTAAGCAAACTGAGAAGGTGAGTGTGTGTCGACTGACTTACTACATTTTTTTTAGTAGCGGAGCAGTTTGAAGGACACTGAAGGCAAATAACAGTTTATTTCAGAGCGAAAGCTCAATGTAAGACGTCGTCTAAAACGGCAATATTATCAACAACAGTGCCCTACTTACCAAGAAATTAAGCTAAATGTACCACATGACGGGTGTCACAAGTGAGATATTTTGTGAATGATCCAGATGACATGAGGGCTTTCAACTACGATTAATCACTAGTAATTAAACTAGCTACAATAGAAAAAGAACCTTTCATGCATTAAGAGATGTAATAAAATGCTACTTGTCTATTTCTGTTTGACTTATAGAAAAAGAATCGCCTAGCGTTACTACGGGAAATGGCACGAGTGGTTCGAAAATTTCGTCTTTGCCTGGTTAGGCCGGATAAGTGGTGCCTTCTAGCGGGGCTCATTTGAACCAAGCAAGCAAAAATGGTTCAGTGGTCATTGTTGCTGCTGTGGCTCCCGCTACTTTCGCTCTGCTGATACTAGTTTCGACGGCCGCGCAGTAAAGCCGGGCAATGTTGTGCATGGCAACAGTGACGCGAGATGGGGCCGCTTTGAGGCGGAGAATTTGATGTGTGCAAACGTGAAGCGTACCAACTAAAACGTGACTATATTTTAAATTAAGCACTGCCTTGGCACAAAACTAGCACTACGAGGTTTCTGTACCGCTACTTCAGCAATCAACATCGACTTAATATTTGTCTTTAGTGTCCCATTAAAGCCGAGGTAAATCCCTTGGGATTCGTCGTTCGTGCATTCTAGCCCAGCTGTGAAACTGAAATCTGGCGAAGTGGAGAGCATGAGTAAAGCTAAGTGGGTGAGAGCGAACCATAGTGTAGCGAGTTGAGTCTGGTAGAGAAAAGGTAGTGAACTGGAGAGGGTGTAGCTGTGTAGAGGAGAGTGAAGGCAGAGCTATGGTGGCAGGGGAGCAAGTAGTCAGGAGAGGAGGAGAGGTAGCAGGAAAGTGGTTGGCTGTGCCGGTGAGAGGAGTCTGCCAATGGTAGCGCATGTTCAGGCACAGGTGGTGCTGTTGAGAGAGTGGGAATGGCGTGCCGACAGTTGCCGAAAGTGGAGACCAGACACGTAAGTGCCACCAGCTTCAGTGTTTAGGGGGAGATACTACTCGAAAAATGCAAGCTTTTCCCAAAATTACAACTTCTTCTTTTTACTGGCATTCGCAAGTTTCGTTTCTATACTTTCACGGCCAAAAAAAAAAGACGTTAAGATTGTTGTTATATTCGAAGTAGCCCAAAATTGCTTTTAAAAAATACGAGGTGGCTATTAAAAACACTAAAACACTAACAGAGCTGATTGTCTAGTCTCTCCTGAATATTGTCGCCTGGGTGCTTGCCACTGCATTCAACCTGAGTTCACCAAAGCCACATGTGCGAAATAACAATGATTACTTAACTCTCATAATAAAATGAATCATTTTAAAAACAAATCTTTGCCACATAGATGAGCTTTCATTTTTACATTTAAAATGCATTTTTCTCATGATGCAATTTAGGAAAGTTCTTGAGTTTGGACATCACGTTTTTGGCACTTCTTATCGCCAAATTGGGATGAAACTTTTGTCAAAAAAGAATTAGTATGTGAAGAGTGCAATTATGTTTTTTTAAAACCTGATATCACATATACTTATTACAAACTTCAAGTGGGCAGTTAGTACACGGGAATTTTGAGACTTCTCACATTACATTTTTTCTTGATCATTTAATTGTAGTATGCACGCATTCCTGATAGTTATTTACATTCTACATTTAGTGTGGAGCAATACGTGCTATTAATGGCTCATAAAAATTAAAGTTTAGCGGTAGAAAAAGTGTGTCCAAAAGGAGGTGTATTTATATATGGTATAAAACAAGAACTATGCAACTTCATATAAAGTAGATTACATACTTGTAAACACTAAAATCGTATGGCGAGAAATAATTCTGTGGAAATGCAAGCCAAATTTAGTGTGCGCTTTGCTTGTGTGTGTGCTAAAAGCACAGGCAGGGCAAACTGTCTCGGACTAGTCTAGGCTTTAAGCTCTTGTGTTTGCCTGTGTTATCTTGTGTCAAAGCCAAATGCTTTAACAAAACTGTGCTGGGTGGCATACTGAGACGTTTTTGTCAACTTTGTGCTTTTGTAAGATTTCTGTGAGAGTCTGTTTGTGAATTATGAGACATGACAACGGTCTATTAACGGGCCTTGCTTAATGTAAAATAAGCTAATGATTCACATATTCTCTACAAATTTTATTATTCGGAACATTAAAAAATGTATATATACTCTGCATCAGTTAATGTTGTGACAAATACGAAGGAGTGATAAACATGACAGCTTGTTAAAAGAAATGTATTGGGTGGGAAAATGTCGCTGGATTCTACCGGAATAGAAGAACTTCAGTTGCCTTGTGTGTGAGGATGTTCCGCCAACATGCAAGATTTCTAATGTATTGCTATTCTTTTTCTCTCTCTTTTCGCTGTCCTGGGGTCCTTCAGCCTGAAGCGAGAAATGTGTAAAATCGCCTGTGGAGAGGTGAGTCATTTTCTTGCTGTCTTACTCGCTCCTCATATCCTAATGCAGATGTGTTTATGAATATTATAAAGAAGTTTACAACCTAAGAACAACTATAAGTACCGCCCACAAAATTGCTGCACGCCTGCCTTTCTCGTGTGAAAGACAGTCGTGCAGGCTGCTTTCCGCTTAACCTGTAGGTACCTTTTCTCAGCTAATGTAAAACTACGCATATTAGGAGTTAAAAGTTCTCTGTTAATAGTGCTGATCAGTAATGTCGGAATCCCTGATGGAGTGGACCAGGATCTTCAAGCTTGTTTCTGACCTAAAACTAGTGACACGTGTGTCTGACCCTAGAAGTGCTGGATGCCAAAATAATGAGTAATAGCTATTGGATGGACAACCTGCGTAATTTTTGTGTGGGATGGACAGTGGTGGCTGCAAGCAAAGCTGACATTTTTTCCCTTGGTTCTAAGAGAGTGAAGTACATAGGTAAATGGCTGGTGAACTGCAGTAAATGTTGTATTTCCTGTTTCTTATTTTTTTTTCTTGCACATGTAAGCATAACACACACAATAAAAACGATAGAAAATATGTATAACCTGTCATGGCAAACAAAATTTTGCATGCTTGTCATTCTCCAAGACACATATAACACACAGTACTCTTCCTCAGGACTAACTGTATTTGGTTATCGCAAGTTATATAAATGTTACACATATTTGTATAGTTGACAGCAAACAGAACAATCAGGTGGTTAGATTAACCTTCGCATGAGATGCAAAGGCAGTCCTATTTCTTCTAGCCTTTCTTCATGAGTTGACAGGACTAATATACTTTTGAACTTTTCTAATTAATGAGCCCTTGATGAAGTTGGTAATAAATGGATTGAAAATGTTTTATTTGCATTTGATTTTTATTGTAGTTAAAACCGCACCAGTGTAGTACGGAATATCTTGAAACCAGGTACAAGTGCTGATAGTGTAGTACGGAATATCTTGAAACCAGGTACAAGTGCTGATTTTTGCCTTGTTTCAGTGCGGAATCGACTTGTTAACAGTGGCCCAAGCTTATGTGTTCTTTGAGAAACTCATCCTTAAGGTAGGTGGAGTGTTGCATGACTGTTTAACGAGTTATGATCATCAGTAAGCTGATAAACTAACAGAGATTAAGATTTATAATTGGTGCTCAGCAGATTATGCTTAGTGCAGAAAGCATAATTGGTAGTCTATTAGGGTAACAGAGTTGGTGATGCAAAAGAAAAAAAAAAGAGCTGTCAATTGCAGCAAAGGTGTGGGTGGTTTGATGAAATTCAAAAAGGTAACATCCACTGGATGAAGTGAGCTGACATAGGCAAGGGTAACCAGAGATTACTGCTAGAAGTAGGCATATGGTAGAGCAGATATGGTAGACAAGCTGATAATAAAGATGTAGCAGATGAGGTTATCACGCTAATGATGGTAGGCTAATTTTGTTTTGGTATTACCAGAAAAATTGGGACAAGCTAGCATCCAGAGTGAGAAGAATGGGGGCTTAGTAAATACATGAATGAATTAGACCAGTTAGTATGGGCCAGTGATTCATTCAAACATTTAGGCTAACGCGAACAATCTTGAAGCAAAAAGTAAACCTCTTGACTACAGGTGTTACTCTGTTAATCTGTGAACAGGGAATCTATACTTCTCGGCACTTGTCTGTCTGTGCTGCAAGATTCGATCAAATCTGCCCCGCAGTGAAGTAAGCGTCCTGTCTGTCCTTTCAACCGCGATGCTTGAAGCGGTGAATATTTCTGTGAATTGGGACAGATGAGATGTTGTACGCCTGTACTGGCAGGAAACACGAGCTCTCTGCGTGAATGCTCAAAACTTGAGAATGCTATAGGCCTGCTTCAAATGCACGTAAGATTTATTGTTGGCAAAATAATCGCTGTCTGGCCGTGCGAGCTGGAGAGCTTTATTTTGCTTATGAAGCCTTTGCTGGCGCTGCTTTACCTGCCATATGGCAAAACATCCTTGCCTGGAAGCTCGCTTGCCATTCTTCGCTTTTAAGAAAATTTCAGTACGCTACAAGTATTGGCCACTAGAGTTTAAATAAAAAGAGACATACATATTTAACATCAAAGGGTGCTGGATGAGCGGGGGTGGGGGGTGATTTCATTCTGAATTGCTCTTGTGGTGGCGGATGGTGGCATGTTGTTCATGCTGCTAGTTGATACTCTATGGTGCAAAAAAAAAAATTAGGTATGCTTTCTATTATTTTAGCCAAGGTTTGCCAACCTGTAGGCATCCTTTTTGTCTGTTTTTTCCATTTACAGCCTACCAATGAAGCAGTGTCTATAAGTAATGCAAGATGCTTGATATTTGCTAATGTTTCTGTAACCAGTAATGTAAGCCTTTGACCGAAGCTCGCCTTGTTATGCTTGAGGGCTTCTTAAAGCCATTTGTCATTAGCTGCTATCAAAGCGAAGAGGACTTCTCTTCTATACAAGAATTTTACTAGTGAATAAATACGGCTTGCCAATTTCGCCTCTTTCTTTTCCATTCTTTCTCTCAACTTCAGCTGCTGATTCACAAGCACAACCGCAAGTTGTGTGCAGGAGCATGCCTCATGCTGTCGGCCAAGCTTAACGACGTCAAAGGCAACGAAATGCGCACCCTCATAGAGGTAAGACGTGGTTCAAGCAAGCTCACATTCATACTATCAGCACCAAAAAGCTTGGCGACACTATCTAGCATAGACTTGGGAACAGTTAAATGTATGCTAAGTGCTTATAGGTCCAACTGTTTCCTTAAAAAATGATACCATTTATCTAAAATATGTTTTTGCTGTTAGCAATTATATGCGAGATGGTACGAGATTTAAAGGCATGCAAGACGGTGGCACTTATCTGGTGTATATTTGCTGTATGTGTGACAGATGGCACTAGTTTGAAGTGTGTGCTTTTAACGTGCTGCCCCATTTATCAAGCACACGCTTGGCAACAGCTACATTGTGCTAGATTTAGCAACAGCCACATGTACGTTCGATCCCGCAGGTCGCAGGATCGAATCCCGGCTGTGGCGGCTGCATTTTCGATGTAGCCGAAAATGCTGTAGGCCCGGGTGCTCAGATGTGGGTGCACATTAAAGAACCCCAGGTGGTTGAAATTCGCGGAGCCCTCCACTATGGCGTATCTCATAAGCATATGGTGGCTTTAGGACCTCAAGCCCCACATATCAATCAATACGTTCTATATATATCATACGCTTGGCTTTCGTTACAAATTTTGCTTACATATTTGCATCTCTTTTTCATGTTTTTGTGTGATTCGACATATGACTTACACTTATTTTCAGCCGAGAAAACGATTCGATTGCACTGAACTTGTTTGTCGACTACCGCAATGATTGGGTGACAGGCTTTGGAGTGCAGTTTGCCAGTTTGTCTGTGGTACCAATAATTGATTTGAAGGCACGAAAAAGCACAATTATTAGAGAGAACACGGGACAGAGTGCCACTAACATATGTCCCATGTCTTTTCTTGTGATTGTGTTTCTTCACCACCTTAAATCTAGTTACTATAAGCATACACCAATGCACCCAACACAATTTCTCTTAAAGCAATAATAGTTGTCCCTAGGAAGTGTGTGTTCTTGTTGGTTGGTTTGTTTGGTTGTCTACTGCTTATTAAATTTTTATGTTTGATTGTCGTGATCTTTCTCAGGCTGCTGCACAGTCATCTTTCTTCCTTCTTTTTTTTTTTCAGTTTTACATGTTCACGCAAAACCTTTTCAACAATGTGAATTAAAGTGCTATACAGTAGATTCTCAGTAAACGAAACCTGAAGGGACTGGGAAAGTATGTTCCATTAACAGGAGTTCCCTTTACTGAGAGGTGAACATGGGTGCATGAATACAAGCCCGAAACCAAGCATTGCAGAGGCGATAGTTCCGTTTAACCAGTAGTTCTGTTTAACAGATTTTAGTTTACTGAGAGTTTACTTTGATTGGTAGTAGTCCCTATTCTACAGAAAGTTGACTGCTTCAAAGCAGGAGAGCATACGAGTTGATCCGATTCATTTACTTGAGGAAACTGACAGCCAAAGAGCTTGCTATGTATTGCTTGCCTGTCCTTCCATAGCTTATCTCAGCTTTTGTCTGTTTTGAAGAAACCGTTTATGTCACATTATCTTTTAGCCTATGCCAGCGGTTCTCATCTGTGCATAGTTTGAGGAACACTTGTGCACCTATGGAAGTGAAGAGCGATCCTTTCTGTGAAAGAAAATTGCAACATGCAGCACGAAATAGTGGCCTTTTATTTCTACCTGGCAAAAATTGGTCAAGAGTCATATCAGTTTCGATTTCAACAGCTTGACTTTAAGTTGTGCAGTCTGCTGCCGCATCCAACCTGTTTCTAGTTATGTTTGCTCTTCAAATGTGCAAGCCTAGAAAAAGTATGCTTGGGTGCATACGTCATAGAAAACCGCAACAAAGGCTTTAGCCCCATCTTATAGAAATGGGGAAACATAAATCAGCACCGACGTAATTCAGAACTGTTATGGGGAGAATAATAATACCAAACTTAGAAGGGGGCCACTGTCATTGAACATGTAACGTTCCTCCAGAAAACGCCTTTATTATTTTTTTCGAGAATGGGTTCTGCAGACTAGAGAATGGCGTTGTGAACTACCATTTGAGAACCACTGGCTTATGCTTTTCTAGTATTCATTTATGCTGTGCTGTTTGACGTACTTTCAGCTTGCACTTCTTCCAACATCCACGACTGTCATATATTCTAAGAAAATAAACATAAATATATAATGACACACCGTAGACAGTGTGATGTTCCCGCAATTAGTCTTTATTTATATCTCTGTCAAATCTGACAAAACAGTGTCATAAAGTATTGCTGTTTTTGCAGCCAGATAGAGTCCAAACTGAAAGAGACATTTGCGGCTGCAAGTTCAACTGTATAATTGTGACATCAATTCGTTGAGAGCATTGTGCACCGATTATTGCAGCCGTTATTGCACAGCATTCAATTTTAATCTGTAGCTTTCTGACCATGCGACCAAGATGCCAAGTGGGCCCTTCCAGTCGCATGCTTTTTGAGAAACAGCATATTTCAGTGCTTTTTCAAAACCACTCCTGCGAATATTTAAGTCAGTTGCAGTCTGCACAAATTGCAGTTCTTGCTGAAATTCTCGCTTTGTTTCGTAAAAAGGGACAATGCTAAAGGGCGTTCCCTCTTAAGGGGGCCCTGAAACACTTTTTCAGGTAACCATGGAATTAAATCTCTGGAAGAGCTTATTGCCTCACGATATAAACGGCGTGAAATTTTTAAAAATCCGTCCAGTCCGAGTGGAGTTACAAAGATTCGTCGCATGCTGCAATTGCGTTCTCTCTTTTCTCGTCCCGACGAAAGCGGTGGAAGCTAAGCAGGGAGGGATGACAGGCGCAAAGAAAAACGTCATGCACGCCCTGTGACCTTGAGCACTTTTTTTTCTTCGATTACGCGGCTTTTTCAGTGTGATCGTGCGTGCACACGTGGACAAGTCGCGGCCTCCCGCGGCAATCTCTGTAACGATCGAGCGCGCCGTGTTCAAATCAGCCAATGGCTAATAGGTGGGCTTACTACGAGTGATTTTTGGGCTTATTCCGTGATTTGTTGAGAGAAGAGAAAGCAATTTTTAGCTGATTTTGATAATTTATTGTGAATTCCAAGCCGCGTGCTGCTCTCTAATATTTGGCTCGCGTGTTGTCGGGAGCCTCTATTACCGATCAGCAGCACTTTCTGACCATGCTCAAAAATTGTTTCAGGGCCCCTTTAAAGGGGCCCTGCAAGGCTTTTTCCAAGTAGCCATGGAATGGATTCACTAAACGAGCTTATTATTTTGCGAATTGACCACCGCGAACATTTTTAGGATCTGTCCAGCACAAGAATTAGTTGCACACTGCAGTTGCTTCCTCTCTTCTCTCGTCTCATTGAAAGTGCTGGGATGCTAAGCGGGGAGGGATGGCACGGGGTAAAAAAGGGTACATTAAGCGTAGCCTTGTGACCTTGACCACTTTATTTTTCTTTCTTTTTTTTTTTCTTCGAATCCGCGACTTTTCGTGCGATTGCGGCCCCACATGCGGACACGTCGCGGTCTCCCGTGTTGGCGACAGTAACTCCCAAGCGGGCTGTGTTCAGGTCAGCCAATGGCGTCATACTTGGGCCTAGTGGTGCAACAATTTTTGGGTATTATTTAGTACGATTTGTCGAGAAGAGAGGAAATAGATTTTTTAGCTGACTATGAGAAATTATTGTGAATCACAGGCAGCGCACTGCGCTATCATTTCTGGCTCTCGTGTTCTCATTATCCTCTACTACCAATCGCCAGTGTTTTCTGACCATGCTCAAAAAGTACTGCAGTGCCCCTGTAATATACCTTGGGGAAGTTTTGCATAATGGCCTGTAATGACATCAGCGCATGAGGGAAACAATGGTTTGTTTCCTTTCACCAGAAACTCGAGTGCGGCTTCCGGCTGAACCGAAAGGAGCTGCTCGATTTCGAGTTTGGTGTTCTGGTGGCCCTGGAGTTTTCGTTGCACCTCCCCACGTGGCAGATATACCCGCACTACCAACGTCTTCTGTACGAGTCTTGAGACAAGCTCACGACGGAGCACGGTGTAAGGAATGAACCGTGTGCCGGTGCCCGTCTTCATTCTTATCGTCTGGTATTCTCGCCAGCTTTCACCAGACCCTGTTGACAGCCTCGTGTTGTGCAATGAGTGTACGAAGCACCTAACTTAATTATGGCTTCCGTGGGACGCTGGATGGAGGAACAATTTTTGGCTCGCTTGAACACACTTCCAGCTGTGTTGCAAGCAGTGTCTTTTGCAGCTGTGGTCGTCTGCATTGTTGATGTACCTCTGCTACTGTCATGTGCTGCTCGATGATCGATGGTTAGGTACAGCGCAAAGAGAAAAAAGAGGACTGAGATGAATCTGCAAGCTTTGCGGGTGTCTGCAACCACGTAGTGGCAACTGTCAGGTCATCTGCAACATTTCCCACAGTGTCGTCTGCAATGTTGCTTGCAGTGGCAGCTGCAATGTCGTCTGTAACTTTCAGAGTGACATCTGCAACGTCATATGCAGCACCGTCTGCAACAATGCCTGGCAGGCCATCTGTAACACTCGCTCCACTGTGTGTGTACACATTGCGTGCATCTTCCACACATGGGACTACTCTTGGAATCGCCAGTTGTGTGCACCACACAATTTTAGGTCATGCTGTGAAGATGCCCGGGCCATGCAGGTGCATTCTTTCTCCAACTCGGCTACTACGTCGCTGCCAAGTGATCCACAGAGCTACACACTACTAACTGCATACAAATTCAGCTGATGTATCACCAGCTGGGCTCTTCCAAGCCGACGTTTGTGCACTGCAGCGCGTATTCAGTTTTTGGTCGGCTGTAGCGTAAAAAAAGAGCTTTCCATTTTATTTTGTGTCAACATATCATTTTTCCTGGTAAGCCATGTGCTATGGATTCTTTCTAGTGTTTGCTTGAAATGGTGCCAAGAAACACCAGCGTCTCTTTTGTTCTTTTTTTTTCTATAACTTTGTTTGTCTTGAAAGAGCGAGCACAAGAATTTATGGAGTGTTCTCAGACTGACAAAGCAGTGCTGTCAGTAAGAATAAGTTACTAACCTTAATTAACCAAATGTTAACAGTTGCTTTGCTGGGAAGCATTAAAGTCAAACCTCATAACCGCGAAAATGCTCGCGACAGCGACAAGCAACGCGACGTAGATTGCCTTCGCTTGAACAATCGCTAGCGCAGGCAAACCTCATTCACGCGACGGCCGAGCGAACTCCACCATTGTTTGCATGAGGCCGTCTACTCGTACCAAGAAAACCGCGTAGTGAGCGGTATGCAATTTAAAATTAAGATGTATTTTTGTGTACTGGAACGGAAAGTGTTTATTACTGCCTTGCAGCACTTTTTTTTATGTGCTAGTGCATAAACATTGTTATTTCTTCGTTGTGCACGCGTGACTCGGGCGGACAGGTGAGTGAGAGGAGGTGGCAATTTCGTGGCACATGAATAGAACCGGCAGTACGTCATTCATGTACATCCTGTTCCGGTGCTTTCAGCACAGCACTTCCGGGCGATGGGTTCCGAATCTGGAGAATTGAGCGATTGTGCGAAAACTACCACGCGACACGTCGCGCGAACGCCCTGTTTCATCGCTTATAGCATCGCTCATCGCTGTCCCAGGCATTTTTGCGTTTATGAGGTTTAGCCTTGATGTGTAGAACATTTTTGTGATAATTTGTTGCACTCAAAAATCACTCGTATGTCCCACCACTAGTCTGGCTGTAGAGTATTTCAGCTAAATTGACCATACTGATTATCAAAACTTATCTGCCCAAGAAAAACCAGCTCAAGTTGCAATAAATTTTAAACAAAGAAGCTGGTAACCTCATAGGAAAGAAATGTAACATCACAATGTGCAACAGTTGTTTGGGCTTCTTAATTTGTATGTTTAAGGATTCCTTTGCAAAACTAGCAAAGTTCATCATACGAGCTGAAGTCTCTGATGAAAACTCATGGTGGTGCGATTAGAGCTTAATTACGGCGTAGGTAGACTGCTCCAACGGCATATAGTACGACTTTGTGAAGTCACGGTCAGATTTAAGCTGTGTTGAAAGGCTTATGAAGTAGTTAGAAGAAAACAGAAAAAAAATCAAAAAAGGAAATCCAGGTATGGTTGTGGCTTTGTGCCTAACATCTTGTTTGCAAGGTGAACGGTTGTGATGGTGTCTTAGTCATGTGTCTTTGGTGCATCGAAGAGATCTGCCGAAAGCAAATAGTACCTTCATTTTACCGACATCTTTTTTTACCTTTGTTACTTTGTTACTGATGTCCTTATTTATTTTAGAAGCGGTGGTGCTTATTGTTTTTTGTTTTTTTCCTCATTGATGCAACACTCATCTATAATGTAGTTTTTAGGCATAAATTTCGGTGACATTAAAAAATAGTCATATTTCAATTATGCATTAGCATCTATTGAAAAAAGAACATGTTATTGTATCCTTTCATGGTGAATCTGTATATTTCTTTAATGGTGATGTGAAACTGCTCCATTTCGAATTCAAGTTGCAGTATCTACTAGAAGCTGGTTATCTATCTATACATACATTCACTTACATTCATATTAGCACTACCATGTTCATGTTGCCACATAGCAGTGGTATGCATAGACTGCCAGTCCCTATTTTGATATGCAAAGAAATAGTGATAAATTTGGAAGATCAAACAAGCATGAAATCATTATATTTGTTTCGGAGCATTAAAGTTTTATGAGAGCATGTGCAGATATTTATTAAGGTTAAGCAGGACCCATGTTGCATGACACAATGCCTGACGTGATGGTACATAATGATGCCACGTCGTACGAGCATGAAATATGGCAATTCCAGTAGCTGGGAAAATGAGCCAGTGGAAAAACTGTTGACTGTGGCTGTCGGTGCATGAAACTGTACACCAGATCATAAGCCAGACTGTGCTGGTACCCCAGTTTTAACTTGCATTACAGGAACTGAAGATACTTTCATTGCAAGGACTCATGTCCAATACTATTGTATTATATAGTATTGTATTGTATACTATTATGTTGTATAATACTATTGCAACACTAATAATTTCTGATCACTTGTGGGGCTGACTGGCTTCTTTTGTAGACAAGCTGAACGTGGCATCGTGCAAGCCAAGCAATGAAGCACGAAAAAGATGGAAAGACGTGAGAATTTCTCCCAACTGGGCCCTGTTTGATATGAAAGTGCCGCTGCGCTACAAGGTTAGGATTAAGTGAAAACAGGAAAAAAAAAGGCTTACAGCTTAGAGATTCGGTTCAAATTTAGCCGCCTGAGTGTTTGACACCGGTTTAGGTTACTTGCTAATGCCAGGCTTCGGAGCCACTTTGTGCGGAGAAACTTGTCACCTGTGCTGAGCCACATGGCTGTTTCAGTTGGGAGTGAAGGCCTTTTTCTGTTTATTCATATTTGTAGATGTTTTGTATCAGTGGTTCTGCACAGACAAAATTTTCGGACCTCATGAAAGTGTTACCTAACATCTTTTTATGTTGTACAAGCAAGCATCTTAGTCTTTTCCCTCGTAAAATGTAAAAGCTGGCTCAGTAGTTGAATTGCACAAGAAGTAGACGGCTCATCACTTTTTCATCACCAGCGGTGAAAATCCTACCATCTTTTCCTTTCCTCCACCATCATTATCATCAACACCTGCAAACACAACATTAGTAGTGTTGTAACGTATGTGTTTGAATAATGATGATAGTGTAAGACAGGACTGCAGAAGTAATGGTGGAGTAATGTACAAACAGAAACAGCCTCAGGATCAGTACGTTATATAAATGCAGTTATGCACTTGTTAGTGGATGTGAAGCTGGTAGCTGTGATTTTTGTTGCTTTGCGTTTCACGTGTGTGTAATTTGCAGCATGTTATGTTCTTTTATCTCGCTCGTGCATCTTCCATAGCTATCTTCTTGCCCAAACTACACTGTGTTCGTGTCGTATTGTTCTCAAATTCAGGCATGGTGTGTTGACAGTTTACTCATTGACGTTTTGTTAAAATGTATCTTCAGTCAGTTTTTTTCCTCCTCTGCTCTTGGAAGCATCGTGACTGTTTATTGATGTCGAACTTTTATTCTCATTTACTTAAGTAATCATTGCCATCCACTACGCTAATTAACAGTACGGCAAGCGCATCAGGATGTTGTTGATATCTTCGTCGTTCAGGCGACTTCCCTGTGTAAGCAGTTGTGCTTAACATGAAAATATGTAATTTAGAGTTCACCATTACTTATTCTGTCGCAAGGCAAATTGTATGATATCATTGAATGATTTCAATGCGCTCAATCGATAATCTACAAACCTACTAATTGTATGAATTGATAAAATATGCATCAACACAACTGGAAAGCTGATTGAAATCAGTTTCTCACGGCGTGTGGAACAAGTTGTGCCGGTGAATTGCATGTGTATCTTAATAATGCACACAACTTATCGCACTAAAGAAGGGCTGCATCACGTTGTTATTGCAAAAGTGCGTGTTTCTTGCAGGCCGCATTGTAATTGAGTCGACTGTTCAGTTGAAAGAAATCTTTACGTGCTACAGCATTTAATTAAGGTCATTTCACTGCTCCTGGTGCCTGGAATATTGCGGCCTAAATTGTAGAGCTGGCCACGGATATCCACGTGACACGGATGCAATGTGAAATATAAGTTTCTGCTCCTGTTAAGTCGTGAAACATATAAATTAACAAGCCACTTTGTAAATATTTAATATTTGTACGTGCAAACATTGGATAGGAGGCTATGTGCCCAGGCTTTACACGAACGAAATGCTTCTGCAAATACAAGTGCCCCGTGAACATTTGTGCCTGACTGTTTGCACGAATCTACGCAGCAGGTACACCAGCAAAAAAAAGCACGCATTGTAGTCGCTTGTCATTTCAGTTAATACAATATTTATGTTGTGAAAGCAGGACATCATTATCATAATCATTTGACCAACACTGTGTTGTACTTTCTTCAATATCATACCATTAAGAAAGCATTACGTGTAGTGTAGTTAAACTATTTATGGCTTACCAAGAATATGCGATTAAAGTGGCAACTTCCTATTTATTTTGTACTGTAAAATTTTGACACATTTGTACTAGTAAATACATAGTCAAGTGCTCTTTCTCGTGGAGGTGTCGTATGTTACGCAAAACAACCGCTGCATTAATGGCATTACGTGTGTGCAATCAATATATGTACCAAGCTTGTGTATTATCGCGTATGTCCATTTTTCATTGTATTTATATGCATTAGTAAGGACAAGAAATTGGATCGTGATGCATCTTCATATGTGTGGCATTTCCTAGAGTGTGGTCTTTGAAATTTGAGTTGTTCTGCAATAGAGCTTATGTAGAGAGCAATTGTGAGAGGGGACGTCATATTCATTTTTGAGCAATGGTCACTTTTGTTCCATTAACTTAATCTGACGTGTCAGTGGAGTATGATAAGTGGCTCTCCTGTTAATCGTTTGGTCTAGTTGAGTGTTTTGGTGCTAGGCAGGATTTACCCACTGTGACTGTTTATGTGAGTGCTTTCATATTGCTTTAAAGAATATGTGCATATTAAGTGCTTAATCAGTCCGTTATTTTCATTAACAATGCAACATTAACCATCCCCTTAAATTACTATATAAATAACTCTACGTTCTCATATGTCATTTGTGCAAGCTGTTCAAGAAAACCATCTTTGTAAGCTACTTTAAAAAATAATTTCTGAAGTTTGAAAGAGTTTCGGAAATAGTTGAACATAGTTTTTTCGTCGTCATGATTCACTGAGCTGTACAGATTAGTCGGTTGTTTCAGTACCTGGGTATTCTTACGGCAATTGTTCTAGGCACTGTTGCACGCAATTTATTTGTTGTTCGTGCATGCAAAGGGACGTGCCCTGAAAGAGGGAGCCGGTTGTTCAGAAAAAGTAATTTGGCGCATCATTTTCCCGACCATCATGGACGAGAAATTCTACTTATATGCTCTAAGGAGCTTATGACTTATGTTCATGTGCTTTCTGTCACTACAGAAAGCACCAAAACGTCCCCATGATGATTGACAGCTGCGCGCATTTCCCAAGCTGGCTAGTATCAAGTAGACATGTCTGTTCTTGCTGCTGAGAAATCTATTGCAATTTAAACCACTTCTCCAGGTTTCATAGAATGCGGGATAGTTCAATGACCTGCAATAGATGTAAGCTCGAACCTCAGTAACAGAATTGCATCTTACACAAAAATAACTTCGTTGTATCCGAAAATTTGTTATATAGGTAATTACTGACACTATAGCTATAGCAAGACTATTTTTCACTTACTTTGTTATAAACAATATTTTGTTATACAGTCAATTTCAAAAAAAAGAAGAAGTAAGAGGCTGAATTTGTTCAATTACTATCTTTTTCAACTAGCAGTGCCCCCCTGCAATGAGAGTAACCCGATCTCTGCATTTAGTCGCTGGAAATGATGCATAGTGGCACTGAGCAATCAACCGATCAACTTAAAACAATGCTGGTGTTGATGCCAATTAGGTTGTCTTGCTAGTTGATTGCTCATTATCTCATTTTTGTACCAGCATGAACTGATTATATGCCAAGTCCATTAGCAGTAGATGGTATGTAGGTCCCTATTTCGCATCCCGAAGCACCGTCATGCCCTTCTAGCCACACGTCACTCGTGCCCAATGCAGAATAAACTGCACTCAAAGCCTTAGGAACCGCATCATTGTTGCAGCAGCGTTAACTGTTCTGAAGTTTGTTGCTTTGCAAAGCCATGCTGGTAGCGCGGTAACGTCACTTCAAGTGTAGACTTGTCATGTGCGGCCATTAACTTGGCCATGTGTGCCTGCAGGAGTGCTCCAACTGATCGAGTTTGTGCGTGATGAACAATATTGAAAGAGTCTGTTTGCCAAGTGCACATCTGCATGCTCATCATCCTAAGCTTTGTATTTAAACAGTACCTGTAAATGCTTATCATATGCTTATCTACTGTTTCTTTTTCTTTTGCGAGTAATACAGTCCAATTTCGGTTGGCACATTTGAGTATTGTGTATTGGTGTATGGCATGACCCGTTAGAATGCATGCCCATCCAGCATCGCTTATGAAAGCTGTGTTACTGATAGCATTAGATCAAGCTCTGAAGGTTGTTGTACCGGGCAATGTCAACAGAGCCCCAAAAAATCGTTTGTAGGGATTTCCAGACAGGTGAGGGTGGTGCAACAGGCACCCGAGATCTTAGTGCATAGGAGGATTTATCATTCTGCATCACTTCTGTGTAATCAATTTTGATTCAGCCAGTGACGTCAATAACAACTTGTACTAAACGCGTGTCTCAGAGTGCTTAAAGGTTCAGTTCAATGTTCCCATCCACAAAGCTGGCTTGAATTGACTGAAATGTCGTTTGGCAGACTTGTCACGGCAGCTAACATGTAACTCCCTCTGTTCTCTTTCTGTCATTTCCTGCTAGATAAGAATTTATACTAGAACTATCCACACATGTGATGTCAAGGTTTGAGTAGCGAATCATTTCAATCCATTTCAAAAAACAAGAAGGAAGACGAGGCTGAAGCTGTTTTTCAGACTACTAATCTTTTTGAACTAGCACTGTCTCCTATGACGTCTTGAACAACAAGGGTAAAGTTTTCCCTGTAGCTGTGGTGGTTGCTAGCTATTAACGCACAGCAAAGGAGCCTCAGTGAAGTAATTCAAGCATCCATGCGCCTAACAGAATGACACTTGTGTCTGGCACTGCATTATAAAGAGCATGAGCAATTTCAAATGCCTCGTGTTCTTTTCGACGCAAAGTTCGTATGGCAGAAGAGACAAATGACAGCAGTGGGAGACGCAAAGGGTAGTTACATACACAAAGCTCAAGTGGCTCAGTGCTCAGCAGTGGAAGTAGCTGGAGCCTGTCTGCTCATGAAGGAACATGTCTCATATAAAAACATGTTTTGTGTGTCGTTGAAATGTCTCGTGTGCACAGTGAAGTTCTGCGCAAGAAAAGAGAAAGAAGTTGCCGCATTATGTTCAAGTGGTCTCGGTAATGCACACGGCATTGTTGCTGTGCACATAGTCAGTGGAGGAAAGGGAAAGCGAACAGACGACACGAACTTGCGTCGGTCTTCCCTAGACAGTGCCACTTGCCTGTAGGTGCCACAATATTGCGCCATCTGTTACAGCCTCAGGAGTGCATTGTGAAATTTGCACACAGTACAGAAAGAACCAAATAGTGTGCAGTCTAGATGGGCTACAAGGTGTTCACCTTAGACTTAGCTGAAACTATATTTATGTTTTTCCGTGCAGTCTAGATGTCTAAGATGAGGTGCAACAAATGTAAAATATGCAAGAAACGAAAAGCTGGCATGGCCCATCATACTTGCATCCCTTCAGAGTGACTGAACTTGTGCATAATCGGGCAATTTCGGAACATTGAAATAGATGAGCGTTGCGTGTTGGTGGTACTTTAATACTGAAACTTACTTCTGCATAGATCTCAGAATTTCATACTTAAAACTTTTTGACTTAATGTCCAAGGGAGTCAGTGAGATTTTAGACAAGGTGCTAGCATATTAGTATAGGTTCAACTTGCAAGCTCTCTTTTAGGCCAAGTGATAGTCTTGCTTTTTTCACTAACTTGCACAGGCGTAGAAAATGACCACACAGAGTGCTTGTCTTTGCGCTTGGTTTGATATTGTAGAAAGAGAACTTATTTTGCTTTGCTATAATTTTCAATCATTTTTCAACTAATGCTGGTAAAAAGGGAGAGAAATATCTTTTAAAGGGAACAATTTTAATTACACGCAAAGGGTTTGCTGAAGAATGAGTGTGCACTAACAACTCGTGTGGTGTTTGCAAGACAAATGACTCGTGCGGTCATGGCTAGCGTTGCCAGGAATCCTTTGTATATGAAAGATAAGATGGGTAGCAGATCTCCAACGCACCACCTGCTTGGAGCAACAGGAAAGATATGGTGTTTGATCCTATCAATATGTAAGCGTGCAACTCAGTTGGCTTTAACTAATTTAGTGATAGAGAAATAGAAAAACTAAATTTTCTTCCTGTGAGGCTGTGAAAGACAGGCTATGGGAAATGCTACATTGGCCCAATTTCGAGATGTATAATATGGTGCAGTGAAATTGAAGCTATTAGATCAATCTACTGTCAAATAAGCAGTATGTGTGGTTCATGTGCATTTAAGGTCGTTTCCACACTCTTGCACAGGCCTGTTGACTGCTACGTGTGTGCGTGCAGCCCACACGCCGTTTTCTGTTTAACAACTTTTTCATACAAAAGTGCTAAAATGCATGCTGCAATAGCCAGATGTTTGGCAATAACACTCCAGCCTCATTATAACAAAGTTGCACTTCACAAAAAATAGGTCCGTTATATCTGAAATTTCATTACAAACATGTATTTTTAGCACTGTATCTATGGCAAAACTGTTGTCCAATCACTTCGTTATAACCAATATTTTGTTATATCTGGGTTCATTATATCGAGGTTTGAGTGTACACCATAAGAGATGTAGAGAGAGGTCAGATTAGTTGGTAGTAGTAGTACCACTCAAGAATGTAACTGACATTATAACGGATGGTGACGGTACGTCAAAACCACGGCTCAAATCTCTTTTACAATATACAGCCACAGTCTGAAATGGTATGTTATTTTTTTTCATTTCTTTTTTTAATGCATGCTGCATCATATGCTTTTGTGAACTTCACTGGTGTTAGCCTGTAACACGCCTGACTTAAGTCTGTTTACATACTTCCATGTTGCTATTAGTAATTCGCAGCTTTACATCTTTATCCAGCTTGTTAACAGGAAGACAACTGTGAAAAAGTGGTGCACGCTCATTTATGACCCCGTGCTTCCCGACTGGTGGCATCGCTGACGAAGTAAAATTGTAGCAAGTGCAAGTACAATGCTAATTTCCATACAAGGGCCAAGAGCCTGCCATCCTCCTAGTACTTCTGTAGACTCGCGTAAAACATTCTGTATGCAATTCTATGCAATGTCAACTGCATCGCCAAAGTAATGTACATATTTTATTGGACATGGAGTCAGTGAAAGAATCTATGGACTGCAGAATTGGGGATGAAAAAACATTTTTAGAACATTTTCACTGCCTCAGCAAGCAGTTTGGTGTTGAGATCTGTACAGTCTTCATCATTATATTAAAAAAAAGCATGGCACTGTATGTTGAGGCCACGAAAAGCTCAGAAGTCAAACCTGTTTCTCTGATCCTCTGGTCTGCACGTGTACAGAACATGCGCAGAGCATAGCACGTGCATGCCAAGACCAATCAGGGACAATAAAGCTAATGAAATTTAAGATAAGTCACAATGGCACAAGTAAAGCCTCAATTTTTGCGTCTTCAGAATGCAGGTGTAGTTTGCTAGCTCTTCTACGTGTAGACGATGGGCAATGAAGGAAGTCTTCGTTGCCGGCACAAGTCAGTGAAAAACTTTTGTCCACCTAATTAATTGGCATAATCACTCAGTTATCCAATCAACTGGGGATACAGGCACGAGAAAACATAGCAGATTCCACCTCTCTGACCACAGGAAAGTAATCCAAGCCCATAATGTTAACGAGGCAGTGGCTAAACCACATTGTATGCTTTAAGCAGCTATGAATGAAAAGGGACACATGGGAAATGAACATTACACGCATTGCTAATGGAACTTCAGTTCAGACGTTTAATCAAGTGACACCCTCACACCTAACACTGTACTAGAAATATAACAGATAAAGACATACTTCTTACTTTGTCATCAGCTGTGAGCAGTATTTCATGCACATACTGTTATGGACAAACGAAATACAGACAATGCCCAATATACTTCACGAGTTAAAAGGGCTATTAGTTAACACACTTGATTAGCTGTTTGTGTTAAGTATATATTATCCTTTGCTGCAGATGCAAAGCTGCGACCTTTGTACAAAGCCCATGTCTTTGAAAAACGCTTATTTTTTTTTGTTATGTTTGAAATGTTCGATTTGTGGCTTTGTCTGTCCACAACAGTACTGGCCTTAGAAAAAAAAAAGAACTCTGTGGACTGCATCTTTCGTCTTCAATTGCAGACTCTCATACGCACTTTCACTGTACTATCTCTGTGTTTGAGGAAATGTATATACGGTGTGTTTCATAATGGGTTATGCAAGCTTTCTTAGAAAATGCCTAGACAGCCCCATTTCCAGTCTCTTTGTTGGACTGCTCGATGAGGCGGACATTGTTTGCGTAAAAAGTAGCAATGTGCATCTTGTGAAATTTCACCAATCAACTTTTTGTAATCATTTTTGCGTACTTATATTAATTTACTGATCGAAGTCTGATTTCTGAGTCCACATACATTTGAGACATTCAATTTTGCATCAATGTTGAGATATGCATTTTCATACTTACAATAAAAGTCTGTGTTCATTTGAATAAACTGCTTTTTATGAATTGTAAGACAAAACAAAATAACCGAGTCACCAGTACATTTCTCAGTGCAGCTTTGAAATGCGCATGTGAGAACTGTCGTTACTCTGAATTTTTTTAAAGTTGGTATGCTTTATAAATGCAGTGCCATCAATCTGTATGGAATGGCCCATATTGTAACGTATTTTAATATGCGCCTTAAAGAAATATTTTTTATAGTTGACATTTGAAAAATTTTGTAATTATTAATTGTGCATTCTGGTTTATTCCGCAAGTGGTGTCCCTCTCTTCGAGCAATCGAGGTCAATGATTAACGACCTGCAGTTCTGTGTGACTCTTTCTGAAACATATGGTATAGTCGCCTAAGCTTTTGTCCTCTGCAGAAACGACGGCCATGTTTGCGGAAGAGTGTGTGTTGTGAAAGGGGAAGTATATTTTGTGAAGAGCATTACAAAAGAAAACTGTACCTTTATTGTTGGGCATACATACATATATGGCAGTTACCGCATGTCGCTTCGAGAATGTGCATATACCATTTATGCATCGGACATATTTTTTTTCCCCGATGTACATGTTGTTATTAACCTGTCTATTATACATGATAAAAGGCATATTGTAAAATCGACACGCACGACTCGCTTGTGTGAGCTTTTTTGTCTGGTCTGAGGTGCGACATCCTCATCTGTTTTTTCTGGTTCTTTACAATTCTGAAGTCGCAACGACAGCATTTTCTTTGTTTGCACCCATGAAACGCCCAAATGATACGCAAGAAAAGTTGCATGTTTGTGTCAAAAACTATGGCTAGGATAGCACACTTTAGAATAACCAAAGTGATACGTCACAAATGCCTATAGACAATTGCATGGAGTGATGATAAGCGAGATAAATATAATGCCATAACAGTTTATAATAAATAACTACAACATAATACTACAAACAGTACATCCAACAAAATCTTAAAAGCCTAAAAAAAAAATGCCAACCTGTGATGTATAATGAAAAACTACAAGTCTTGGACCATATCGCTCTAGCGATACAAGCAGATACTACACTATGTGCCAACTTTCAGCTAAACACCATTTTGTCAATAAGTTTTCAAGTTGAGTATTTTTCTGTTTATATATGTCTGAGTCGCTTGAAATGCCATGGTCCCAGAATTGGCATAGACAACTAGCCTTAAAAGTCTGGACGGATTTTCAGACACTTAAGTTCTACCATTTGCAAGAGTTCACAGTCATCTGAATAAAACCTGGCTAGTTAAGTCATTATTTTGGCAAGCTTTAACCATAAAGTGTGACCTTATATAAGAGACGTTGGCACGCTCTTGATACTCTTCACAAATTTATGAAACAATATTTCAGCAATGTGTAGTATACCGTGTACCAATTAATGTGGACATTTTTTATGCGCATTTCATATGTTACACTATTGCAACTCGGACTATTAATAAACGTGAAAATGGCAGGTTGTACGTTTTCAAGTACACTTTGCTTGGTACAAGACTTCATTATTGCAGAGGTCTGCACACGAGATTGCACTCCAAAACCGCTAAACAGTTTTGCAATACTCTGCAGCACAGTTTTAAGTATGAAGACGCTACTTTTAAGGCACACTGCACAAAATGATCCAGTCATTGTAAATAAAAAATAAGACAATAAACATCCCTAAAAATGTTATGAGATTAAATAATGAGCAACTGAATATATGAGTAATCCTTATACAGATACAGATACTCTACCATCAAGAAAGCATTTTTTTTTTTTTTCAATACCAACTTTCAAAAGTGCATTTAAACCACACCGAGTCATCGATGCAACCACTCCACATAAAATCTGCTACATTAGATGATTATAAAGTATCATAAAGTACTTGTTTATAAATAGAATGAAAGTCATAGGTGGCTATATGATGGTCATAGCTGTGCATACTTTGACAATCTGTGCTGGGCCACATCATCTTTTCTTCTGTTCAAACATGTCGGGCACAAATAAAATTGAACACGTGGCTCAGCAACACGGTGTTGATAGCACTAAAAAAAACTAGTGTAGTAACTAATTTATTAATACAATCTGTGCTTGGAGATTGACAGCAGGTTACTTTTACACACGCATTTAATTAGAACAGGCTGTCATTGTGTTGTGGCAGGCACGATATCAAAACTTGTCAGAACTTTGCACGCCAGCAAAAGAAATTACCCTGTATAAGGAATTACTGAGCCAGACTATCAGATTCTGGATGCCATTGCAGATGTAAACTACCATAATTCAAGTGACGTTTGAGGTTCCTTACATTCAATATTTCGCACAAAGAACACACGCGCGTCATTTCTCCTGGTGTACTTTACGGAAGCTCGCTTATTGCTTGAAAGGTTTCGCAGATGCATCGCAACATTTGCAGCTGGAAAAAACGCTTGAAACGAGGCCTAGAAACTGCGTATTAAAATGAAAACCTCACATGTGCATAGCAACATCACAAGACGCATTGCAATACACTATTTGGAGGTCTGCTTAAACTTGCGACAATGCCGCATTTTCCCCTAACATGGCGAGCACACCACACTTTCATGTAATGCAACCGTAATTTTCGGATAACTTGACAAACATTGATTACTATGAGCCAACATTGGAAACATTTGAAGAATAAGCTCCTGTCTCGACCGAATGTGGGCTTGAAAAACTGTAACCATTTGTGAAGACTTCTCATAAGTGCATCGATATGCTGTTGAACTGGCTCTATAGTTCAATCTGCCCCGAAAAAGCTAAAGCTGAATTTTTACTCATTCCTGGTTGAATGAGTACTTTCTTTTTCTTCAGTAAAATCTACCTGCTTGTTGCATGGAACTGTAAATTAGTCTGCTTTAAGAAATACTGTAAATATGGCCTCCAAAATCAATCGCTGGAAAAATGCCCGAGCGAGGAACATTTCGGAAGTACCGATGAAACGCAAATGCCGCAGGAAGATGTGATGTCACCCGGTGGAATTCTTTGGCAGTTTGTTGAAATACTCCGTCGTAAGCTCGGCAAGCGGCGCTCCTCGGCAGGCACGACAGCATTCACAGGTTGATTCTGAATGAACTGTCGAAAAATGTAGAACAGTAATGTTTTATGATGTTAAAAAAGCGTTCACAAGGTTCATGTAACAGAAATGCAGTAAAACTGACAGTGTATCTCTGAGTGCTCATCAGTGACTCGCACAAGGATATGCTCTTCAAAATAACGATACTGAAGTGACGCTAATACTGAAAATGATTTTAGCTGGCACTAACGACGTGAAGCCTATGAGGGGTTCAGGGCATCGCTGGGAAAGTACGACATATTATTACGGGGAATAAAGTATACACTGGTGAACAAATGTGTACTGGCGAATATACTGGCGAGCTAATGCGTACGACGCTGCTGCAGTCCGAGCACGTTCCCGTTCAGCACTTCCGTCGTCGTCATCCTCAGGCATCTACTTAGCCCGTGACATTACCCGCCGGCGGCAGAAGCACCGTTCCGGTGCGATCAATTCTCGAGGCGTGAGAAGTATGGCTTAAGCCGTGATACGTGCACTATATCGGTCGGGACTGAAGCTGGTACTGACGTGGTATGGAGTGGAGCTATCTCATAGGTCACGCTGGTGACCTTGCGTATGACGCGGTAGGGGCCAACGTAACGGGACATTAGTTTTTCGCTGAGACCAACACGACGTGATGGTAACCACAGCAAGATGAGTGACCCCGGAGAGTACTGTACGTCGCAATGCCGGCGATCGTAAGCACTCTTTTGGTTAAGCTGCGAGGCACATAAACGATCCCGGGCGACTTGGCGGGCGATGTCAGCTCGGGCCAGGGCATCACGAGCATAAGCAGTCGATGAGGGGCCATCAGATTGCAGCATGGTGTCCATGGGCAAAGGCGGGTCATAACCGAACAGTAGGTAAAAAGGAGAAAATCCAGCTGTATCATGACGTGAACTGTTGTATGCGAAGGTAACGAAAGGTAAGTGGATGTCCCAATCTTTGTGATCCTTGGAGACGTACATCGCTAACATATTCGTCAAGGTGCGGTTGAGGCGTTCCGTGAGGCCGCTGGTTTGCGGATGGTTTGCTGTAGTGAACTTGTGGTGCGCAGAGCAGGATCGCAGGAGGTCGTCGACTACTTTAGATAGAAAACAGCTGCCGCGGTCGGTGATCAACTGACGAGGAGCACCATGACGCAGAATGATGTCATGAAGAAGGAAATCGGCTACATCACTAGCGCAGCTGGTGGGGAGGGCGCATGTAACGGCATACCGCGTTGCGTAGTCGGTAGCAATAGCAATCCACTTATTACCGGTGTCCGGCACGGGAAAGGGTCCTAGAAGAACGAGGCCGACTCGGAAAAATGGCTCATCTGGTACTTCAATGGGCTGGAGGGTACCAGCAGGTCCCAGAGCAGGCGTCGTGCGGCGCTGGCAGATGTCGCATGCCACAATGTACTGTCGCACAGAACGGTAGAGGCCAGGCCAAAATAATCGGCGGCGAACGCGGTCATACGTGGGTGACACCCCTAGGTGTCCAGTGGAGGGGGCATCATGGAGCTGGGCCAAAACGCCTGAGCGAAGATGCGCAGGAACAACGAGTAAAAGTTCAGCACCATCAGGGCGGGTGTTGTAGCGATGCAAGATGTTGTGAAGAACGAACAGTTGTAAGGAGTGGTCAGGGTGGGGAGAGTGCAGACTATTGATAATAGCACGCAAAGAGGGGTCGCGGCGTTGTTCAGCAGCTATGTCGGTGAAGTCGGTAATTGAAAGAACGAGGGCCTCTTGCTCATCTTCCCTCGTGTCAGGGGGATCGACTGGGTAACGGGACAAGCAGTCGGCATCCTTGTGAAGTTGTCCGGATTTATAGGATACGGAAAAAGTGTACTCTTGTAAGCGCAGCGCCCAGCGACCAAGGCGTCCTGTAGGGTCCTTGAGTGAGGAGAGCCAGCAAAGCGCATGGTGGTCCGTAATAACTGAGAATGGTCGGCCATACAGGTACGGTCGGAATTTCGCAATGGCCCAGACGAGAGCTAAGCACTCGCGTTGTGTGATGGAATAATTTTGTTCCGAGCGCGACAACAGTCGGCTTGCATACGCGACGACGCGGTGCATGCCTTGTTGCCGCTGCGCGAGCACTGCGCCTATGCCGTGGCCACTGGCGTCAGTACGAAGCTCCGTGGCGGCAGATGGGTCGAAGTGTGCTAGGACTGGTGGATTGGTGAGAATGTCAACGAGCGACGAGAACGCGTTTGCTTGCTGTTGGCCCCAGGTGAATGCGACATCCGTTTTGAGGAGGCAGGTTAGAGGACGGGCTACTTCAGCAAACTTCTCGACAAAACGACGGAAATAGGAGCACAGTCCCAGAAAACTTCGGACGTCCTTGGCTGAGCGGGGTGTGGGGAAGTCGCGAACTGCTCGGACTTTCGCAGGGTCTGGTTGAACGCCCGCAGCGTTAACAAGATGGCCGAGTACGCAGATTTGGCGTAGCCCAAAGCGGCATTTGGACGAGTTAAGTTGCAAGTTGGCACCTCGAAAAACATCAAGCACTGCGGACAGACGGGTAAAATGGTCGTCGAAAGTAGTCAAAAAAACAATAACGTCGTCAAGATAGCAGAGGCAGATG